AGTATGACACCTACCAAATCGCAGATTTTTGGGGCAAGGTAAAGCTGGCTGGGGGTGCAATGATACCACTAACAGTATAAATCTGGGTTCAAGATCCAAACATACCAGATCCAGAAGCAGAGAAACCTGGACACACTGAGGAGGCAGTGCCCAGCTGTTCATTGGGCTCTTGTGTTATGAATACCCAGCGTCAGGTATATTTTCATACCATTAAAGTAACAGGATTCTGTTGTGCTAATGTACAGACTTCAGGGAGGAGTCTGACACAAAACCAATTGCTTCCTGTGTTTAGAGTAGAAGATAAAATAGCTTACTAACTGATGTAATGAGTAACGCATGTCACTATGACACAAAACTTGCCATGATTTGTGTGTTCAGCTACAAGGTGCAATATTTCTTATGACTAACTCAAAGCACAGCCRCATCCAACTGTGATTTGGAATCCCATCTCAAGCAGCACGCACTATGACTTTGAAGAAAGTCTGTATGATTGTAACAAAGTCACCCATCCTCTCCTGGAACGTGAACAAAATCCATGGGGTAATCAGGCACAGGCGGCATGTAACGGGTTTGTCTTCCTTTTTACTCCTTGTTTTTGCTTCTGAGGACATGCACTTGGCTCCAGACTAAATCCACTTGCTGTTACAAGAGAACACAGCTGTTCTTCTCTTTTTCTCTCTCCTTCTCTCGAGGCTCTTTGCGTTTGCGTTCGCTATTCCCAGATTGTCTTCCACTTGCTGGAGAAGCAGCACCTTGTACCTGCTACATGGGGGGGTGGCAAAGAATGCAAGAGTATTAGCTGACAGTCCAGTACTATCTATAGGCAACTAAAACAAGGCCAAAAAAAAAAAAAAGCATATGTTAGAACAGAATCTCAAGTTATGGCAGCTGAGTTCAGACAATGCCCTCAGGAGAGATTTATACTGGTATGTATTTTTAACCTTCTTTTTTTTTTCCTCCAAAGTAAAAGAACTCTTCTTGATTTCAATTTGCTGTCACCTCTTGTTCTTGCATGTTTGTGAAGAAGGTTTAGCCTGACATTTCTGTCTTACTGATTCATGCACTTACAGGCTAAAAGTGAAACATAAAATAAAAACTGTATAATGTAGACGGTGAAGAAAATATAAATAACAGGGCTTATCCAATGATGGAGAGAGCTTTATTTTTGTCAGATTTAATTTAAATATTAAGCAGAGCTATGTATCTACAAAGTCATTAAAATATCTGGAAAAAAAACCTAAGTTTATTTACTGAGAATGATACAAACTGARCTGCATCTAAGAACATTTTTACTGCTGTTGAAAGAATTTTGAAAAATGTAAATTGTCTTTACCAAAGATGAATAATAATAATAAAATCTAACTATATACCTGCTAATGTCAAATCACTTAAAAATTAGATTTGTTTAGTTTGGTATTGTTCTTGCTCCAGGTTTCTTTCTGTTCTTTCTGAAAACCTTATTTAAAACTGTACAGTCCTACTTTCTTCCAACATAATCTTTATAATCATTGTAACCCTAAACTCATCCTTGATGTAGAAGGCTAGGCAGACCTTATGTATGTGGCAGGAACCAGGATCTGCACACCTCCTCCACCAGTAACAACACTATTAAAATTCCTGTATGCATCCCGTTGCTTGTAGTACAAGAACATGAATAGTATTCTTATTATATATCTATGAACATAGATTTGCCTATGTAACTATCAAGTTAGTACTCACTAACACTCGTAGTCATAATCTGTAATGATGTTCTCTCTCTTACCTGGACTTGAGCTGCTGCTTGTTCCTGTTCCTGGTAGTACTGAGAAGCTCTCCTATCCTCCTCTTCCTGGAGCTTCTTTGCTAGCTCCAGATCACTGATTCCTTCTGGGATCTGTTCCCAGTTAATCTCTTGGTTTTGCTGTTCTTGTTGTAGTGACAATGCCATCAGATAATCCTAAAGAGTAAACCCATTTATTAACGCGTATAATCGCACTCTGCATCACAAACAGGATAGTGAAGAAGACAGTTAGGGCAGCTCAAACTAGAGCCACCTCTGTTGCCTCTACCTATAGTCATGTGTGTACATGTATATACACACACACATATATGTATGTGTACACACACACCTGCAGTATACATAAGATTCTGTAGTCCACAAATGAGATAAAAAGTGTTTTAATTAATCAAAAAGCATCTGCTTATTCATATATCCTTAAGTACCTTCAAAAAGCAGTAACTGCTTCAAAGGATTAATCTGCTTTATCTGTTTAGAATGTAAGATGTCTGGGGGCCTGGATGCTCTCGCTACCTGCCTATGCATTATCTAGGAAAAACGGGCGCTGTCTGAAATAGGAGTTCAGAAAGTTATTGCGTGTCGCAGAATCACAGWATGCTTGAGGTTGGAAGGGACCTCTAGAGATCATCTAGTCCAACCCCTCTGCTCCAGCAGGGAAATATAATTAAGAACAACAAATAACCATCATCATGTCACCACTACAGTGTCTGTCTTACATTCAGCAGAATGGCCAGATAGCAGAGCTCAATTATGACAATATTAATGGCTTGAAATAAATTTATTAGAGAGGGAGATGTTTCACAGTGCTATTCTGTTTCCATATAAAAGGCAACACAGTTGACATTTCAGATTCACAGATATTAAGGTTGGATTTTTCCAAACTATTTGGGGTTGGGCTTACTCTTTTCCTTGAAGTCATATGATAATACTGGAAAGAAGCATGTTTGAGAATCTCAGCGTAGAGATCTAAAGACTTTTTTTATAGCCATATATACACATATCTATAAATACATGTATGTGTATATATACACATATACACACATGCCCCTCAAAAGAAACAGTAGCTTGTAYATATAGTCACAACCAAATAGAGAAAACACAACAGAAACACAGGAATGCACCACCTGATCTATCTGATCCTGTTGCCCTCTGTAGACGGTTTCAGGGTCTGACGGTGGCCGGAGGTGGAATTCAGAATCACAGAAGTTTCCATCGCCATCCACATTGTGCAAGCTTTCCCAAACAACTTTCTCTTCTGTAAGAAAACCCTGGTCTGTCACCAGCAGGTAAAGCTGACCCTATGCAGAAGGATAAGGAAAACCTTGGAGTAATTTTCATTAGTTTAAAATTTGAGATATTAGATGGTCATTCTTGCTAACTAAACTGTTGCATCTAGAAAGCATTAATTCCAGTATACAGCATGAGAAGATTCACTGCTAAAATTAACAACAATCAAATCATTAAGCTAATTAAGGCATTTCACTGTTACAAATTTATCTTAATTTCTCTTTTAATTTAAGAGTTTAAAATTATTAACTGGGCTTATCTGGGAGACAGAGACAAGACTAGCAAGTCCAGAAGCCAAAGTAGGGAAAGGATGAAATGCAAGTTTGGGTTGAAGGATTTGAGAGAGCAGCTGAAATCAGATGGAAATTGGAGGAGAGGTAGGAGATAGTGCTGCACGTTTGTGGGATAGCAATGAAGCACAAAGCCTTTGTTTAAAACCCATTTTGGATTTTAATCTAATTCTACCTTTTCGTAAGGCTTACAAACACTACACTCCAAAGCAAGAAGGTTGCTGTTACCGACCACAGAGCACCCYGAGATAGAAGCCTCTGTTATTATTACTAAATACACCAGATCAACGTGCTCAAGAGTGTCCAAAGCAAAGCTGGTTACAGCATATTCACTGTAAACCAACCAGTTTACTGTCACATCCACAAAAAATAGCTATTCTATCACACAGTACACAGAGGGATCAGAAAGTGTACTAAAAAGACAACATACAAAAGAGACAGTTCCTGTTCCAATGCCTTGCAAAAAATGACAGCGTTGCTCCCCTTTTACAGGTACAGAAGTAGCTCTCCAGTTTCTCCTAGGTCATTAAAAGAGTGTCTAAAAGACATCCCCAAATCAAAATCAGTTATTTTCAACACAAAGCGAAGCTTATAACCATCCCTTCTGCAGCCAAGGGGCCATACAACTTAGAAGACATTCACACTATTACTTGAAGAGTCTTGTGCAGCGCTGGCATTAACAAAACAGCCCAATCCCCTGGGCTACGTGTGGGCAGAAGGGCCAGGCACCCAGGGCAGGGACAAACCACCAGTTCTGCAGTTCTACGTTCTGCCCCAAGTTTGGGCACGGCAGTTATCCCAGCACAGGCAGGACATAAATAACATAGTCAGCAACAAAACTGACCACATAACATGACCTGAGCAATCATCTTTCCCTGGGAAGTCAGCCTAAAATATAAATAACAGTTTTGATGATTAAAATCACCCAAAAGAAAGAAAACAAAATAGTTTTAAATAGGCATCCTCTGTAAACTGAAGATGTAAGTGCCTTAGGTATAAGAAGTCTGTTTAAACAAACAAGGGAAAAAAAAATCACAGAAGCCTTAAGGTAAGCGTATAGGAAGCTTTTAAATTCTGACCAGTACACTAAAATTAAAAACAAAAGAAACAAAAGGTTAAGTGAAAAAAGGCTCAATGCAGTGAGCCTTCTGTAATGACAGGTATTTGGTATGACTTGTTACAAAAGCTCTACAGTGTAGSCCAGCAGTAATACTATAGTAGGAAAACATTAGTATATTCATAATCTTCCAACTACTCTAAGCTGAACTTATCACATGAAATATTAAAATCTCCCATTACTTTAACAGGACTAGAATCTAATATCTGTTATTCAAGGGTAAGTTATTTGAAATAGAGATGTTTCAGTTTTGAACAAAATTCATACCAATGCTTTGTTTTACTTTRAAGCCCTCCTGTGTTGAACATGAGCACTAATCATTTGAGAACTCCAATCTCAGCTTCATGCTAGTATCATTTTCATGAAGTTTCTCAAAAAAAAACCAAAGATTTTCCAATGCTAATATTCATAATTCCATCTGACATCAGGAGCCAGCTTTTTTGTATTAGCTATAATGTAGATACTTATAGTCCTTGTATCAACCTTGCTAGAACTTCAATTTTTACGTTCCTTCTTGCAAAGAGTGGAGACCACATCTGCACAAGGCTGTTTACAGGCAGCTCTTCAGCATCATTCATCTTCTTGTCAGGATCTCTGAGGCTCACTTTGATGGACACCTAAATTGGTGATATGCAAGTATCTTTATTGCATGACCTTCACATTGCCTCTAGGTTAGATCTGCAGCATATAAGGTGTCAGGAAAAAGCCACCATCCTCCAGCAGTTACCAGATCACAAAGTCAGTCACAGCTTTCATCATAGCTTTCCTTCACCCTCACAAATTGTGCAGGGAGAAAAACAGCTATGAGACAGTGACATAAAACCAAATGCAACATTAGAATTTCTCACTTGCCGGATCCAGTGGTTTTCCAGTGCATTTGTAGTCTAGTGAATAAGGTCTCTGCACTCCTGCTCTACTCAGCACAGCACACAAGGAAGAAAAGGGAAGCAGGGAACACAGTGGCAGAATCAGAGATTTAGTATTTACACTGAACTCAAAAATCAGGAAGGAAGTAATTAAAAAAAAAACAAGCAGAAAACAAAACACACAAAGAGGTAACAGTGTCTTCTGATTAAGATGTCAAGGTCCTCCTTATGCATGTGTGTTCTAATCAGAGTTAAAGCTAAAAAGGGGGTGCAGCAGTACAGTAAGGTCATCTAATTCACCTAATGAATGTATATACTTTTCAAATGCTGACCTKGCCAAGAACTAGGCACTTTGTGATGTACAAGCTGTTTCTACCTTCATGATACTTTAAAGAGCTAGTAACTGCTGAAGTGGTATGAAGTCTATTCTGTACGTGTTTTAGGTTTAGCTTTTATGTTTATTATAAAATGTGAACTTTCATAAATATGCAGTCTCACAGGCTAACACTGCCCACAAAAATGCTAGCACAGAATATACAGTAGTATTAACTACTAAAAACTATTGCCTAACAGAGAATGAAACATTTAAAACTCTCAAGTATATAACTATAACTGTTACAGGAAAGTGTGCCTCCAATGGAGGTATGAATGATTAAAATATTTATTATAAAAACTCAGATGGTAGCCCAATGCCCAGATTTGATCGTTTCATATTTAAAAGGCTTGAATAAAGTCTGCTATCAGTGATGCTGGCTTCTGATTACAGAAGCCATTAGGCTTCTGATTTACAGAAAAATATTCTTGTACGCTACAGGTGATACTGTTGGTTATAAGAACTCTTTTCTTGGGTTAATTTCATGACCAGATAAACTGATTAAATTTTTTTTTTAATAACATTAGTGTCTTTACACTACCCATTCTGAGGCTTATTATCCAGTTTTTAGCAGTTTAAWTTTTTTTTTTTAAAGTAAAACCAAATACTTGTCTAAAACTTTATATTTTCAAGACAAACTTTTAAGCATAATCCGTGAATGTCTGTATAAATGTTCTCTTGCACTTCTGGATCAGACTCTCTGAATTTATGAAAGTGTTTAATGTCCATGTGAATTTGAACTATAATTTGGGGAATAATCTATCTGAACACTTTCACTGCAAGGGGAAACTAAGACTATTTTTGAAAATATGTAAGATAAGATTAAACAGACTAAGCTTCAGAATAAGAGCTATTATCTTACTATGTAAGTGAAAATATCTAAATGTTTAAAAAGTTATATACATTGTATTATGTTGAACTCTCCATCTTTTTTAATCCAAAAAAGAAAAAAAAATGTAATTATTGCTATGAAATAAATTTTGTATTTGGTTGTGTTGAGTTCTGAAATAGAAACCTGAGGTTTATTCAAAAACCTAGAAAGCATCATTGCAGCATACAGACTGGAAACTCTGTCCAGGTGAGTTTGTTGACATTTTTCAGTAAAGTCAAAAGGTTGAATAACAGTCATGTCAGCAGGAAAAACATTCTAACTGAACTAAGATATTCTTACCAAACTGATCCCCTCTTTACAGTCCTGTTTTTTCCTTGATTTAGGGGATTATCATGGGAAGCTTTTATTATCTGTGTAACAAAAATCAAAGGTAAAAACAAAAAAGAAAGAAAATCACATCTTTAACTGCTGAAAATACTTACTGTATAATCACAGAGCTAAAAAAATTTATTAATATGCAATTAAAGGAATAGGACAGAAGAAATAACTAGTTGAGTACAAACTAACCATTATTAGTGAAATTAAGAAACAAATCTCACTTAAAGGGATGAATTAAGAAACTGATAACTGAACTCCCCTTATTAACTAATACCACATTTTGACAGCTACTGTATTGCGGAATTGTTAGCGTGTGCGCACGCACATTCAGACTGCTAAGTTGTTTTCTCACACATATAAAACCAATTTTAGTAAAACAGCCCTTCAAAATAAAAACTCCAACAACAGGATGAAGAATCTTTCAGTGAGATGTTGCTCTAACCTCAGTATATTCAGTTAAATAATTCTGAGTGTTACTTAAGTCTTGCATTTTTAATTGATTCAGCAAACACTGCAAGTAGCTGCAAATACTTTGTAATAAAGACCTAAGAAGGAAATCCAACTTATGTGCACAAAGATCAAACTCTTTCTGCCTTAAAGCATCCACAAGATAATCCCTGATTAATTAGAGCTAAGTGTGTGTGTGTGTGTGTGTGTGTGTGTATATATATAAAATAAAATGAAATTAATAAAGACAGCACCAATGACCTCTACAGACAGCTCACTAGATCTAATGTGAAGAAAACTAATGCAGAAGAGAAAGATAGACAGAGAGAGAACAAACTGTTCACCCTGGCACTACAAATACTAAAAATGACTCGACAAAATCACATGGCTGTGATTTGGCCTCACTATAAAGGAGAACTAAGGCTGTGCTCATTTATTTTATTATAGAAAAACCATAAATATTTAACTTACAATATGCCTGAACACATTTTTTGTTTAAATTATTAACACTTGCACCTCAAAATCCTAAAGCTGATTCTACAGTTTAAAAGGAATTCATAGTTTTCCCCAGTTCCTTTGAAGAAGCTCAGAGACCTTTTATTTTCTCCTCCAACAAGTGCACTTGAGATGAGCCTGTATTATACTTTCTTAGAATAATACTTAAGCATCCTAATGTACCTAGTCAACTAATATTCRAACTTGGAGGCATAGCTGATCTGTAGACTTTCCTGTGGGAGGTATCTATATAAATAAAGTTCAATGTTACATTTCTGAGGCTGATATTTTAACAAGAGCAATTGGATTTTGGTATCTTATTTTTTCAAAGTATAATACAGGCTCAAGTATAATTTTATATTATACTTGATATTATACTTTTTCAAAGTATAATATCAAAATATTATACTTTTTCAAAGTATAATACAGGCTCATCTCAAGTGCACTTGTTGGAGGAGAAAATAAAAGGTCTCTGAGCTTCTTCAAAGGAACTGGGGAAAACTACAAGTTCCTTTTAAACTGTAGAATCAGCTTTAGGATTTTGAGGTGCAAGTGATTTGAGGTGCAACAGATTTTCACTACATATTCCAGCTAATTAATCAAAATTAGTTTCTGGAAATAACAGTTTCATCATGTTTAGAGCATATAAATAAGCCTTTTCTGAACTTCAACTGTTTTGTTTATATGACTCTATATATTGGTTTGGAGGGAGGACAGGGAAGAGCGATATTGGAAAAAACAAACAGTTTACACATTTTTTTTTCCCCAAATAAGTTTATGTAACTTTTCTCTGACATTATATCCTCTCCTCTGTTTTTCTAACTTATAGATCTTTCTCCAAAAAAGAGCCAGCAGTACTGCTGACTATTGCTAGAACTGTGATATAAAAGAAAAACTCCATTATAAATTTATAGAGCTAACATTAAATCTAATTACAGGAAAGAGTACAGCAGATAGGGAAAAAAAAAAACCCAAACTTTGTGACAACAATGCACTTGATGCTCAGGTCAGCATCCTGGAGATACAAAAGATACCTGGTCTCAGCAAAAAGCTGAAGTCAAGCCCGTATCTAGCTTCTTGATAAGAAAGAAAACCTAGTGGCTGTAAGGCTAGCTGCATTTGTCTGGTCCTTTAATAGCGGATATATTTTGTAGATATATTTTAAAAGTCACAATTATAGCATCAAGCACTTAAGTACATAAGTACAGAAGCACTTAAGACATTATTTCCAGCAGGACTAACATACTCTACCTAGAATATCCTCTGAACTAATGAACATATTTCCTGCCCTTCCAGGTACCATCTGTACTTCTACTTAGACTTTTCTCTTTAAAAGCAAATTGGTATTTTTCTTCTCAAGGAAAGCAACCACAGAACCATGTTTACACCCACACRGCAAATATTACAACAGCTATGGCAAAATGTAGATTTAGAAAAATGAAAAGAAGCAACAGTTAAAATTGTGACATAAGCAAGCTTCATCAGAGAATACAACCATCATCATCTTGGCCATGAACTCCTTCAGACTCTGCTCCCTTCAATACATTCCAGAATCTTTTTATATGGGGTAGCACATGGAGGGAAGGGGGAAGATGCACTTTTAGCCATCCCTCTCTGTGTTTTAAAGGAAGAGTATCATTCCATACAGATTTAAAACAAATCATAAATATGTTCTAGGTAGTTGTTAAAAAAAATATTTTATCTTTTTTTTGGAGAGTTAATCCATGATTTACAGAAGCATTTGGAGCTTTAGCTCAGCTTATGAGTAATTATTCAAGATGCCAGAGGTTAATATATAACAGTCAAGATTAATAGATGCTAAATAAAAAGAGTAGTACTCCCTAAACAGCATCACTCACAGCATATGAGGTTTCCAAACAAAAGATGGTTAAAGGAAATACAGCAGCCTTTCCACATCTATGYATGCTACCAACATCCTTTTTTGTCTTTTATTGTCATTATTTATAAACATAAATGTACATTTTAAAATCAAAGTTTTTTTAGTAATAGCTAACCAAAATGAAATTTCAATACTGTCACATATTACAGTAGAAACGTGCTATACTTATAATGCTGAGAGAAATATTTAACTACAGGTATGATTTGACACTATAATCCTAAGAAAATCTACCTAAAATTACTCAAGTTTGTCTTAATCACAGCCCTCTTTTCAGAGAGGGTTTGACTATATAATCTGTCAGATACATACAAGCACACTATCACTTTGACAAATGCAAAGTTACATTAGAACAAACAYGTTCCACAAGTGATCATAAATTTGCCAAAATCAATTCTTGCCTCCCTGGAGTGGGGAGTTTCAGAAGGAATCACCAAATTGTCACTTGTTTCTACTATCCCTGAGTATTTCTTTCAAAGTTTTCACCATTTGCTTCCCCAGCTTCAAATTCAAAATTAGCCTTTCATCTCATACTACACTAACCTTTATTTAACAATAACATGCTGCAAAACAATTTATATAAGCAAATTATATACAAATACATAAGACATAAGTTACCATAACATTGAAAATAGTAACAGATCCTGATATTTAGAACAATGATCAATTATTTGCAAGTAACATTTGCTCTAGATKTTACATTCATCATAAGCTGTACCTACCTTTAATAATAATAATAGGAATTACTATAAAGACAGGGAAAAAACAAGTTTCACTTTGAAATGAAAAAGAAAACAATAACAACAAAATACAATTGAATATACCTTATATTTAGTCATGGTGCTAAAATGGTTGTTCCTGAAGAACACACAAAGCTCTCCCTCCTGGACAGCTGAAGTCAACTCACACAGCCCATGGTATGTCAATTGTGTAGCTGTGTTATTTAGAAATTGTTCAGCTACAAATCCTACAAAAGTAATACACAGTTACGCATGTGTCCATCATTCGCTTGGTTAACAATGAGCCACTTTCCTCCCCCTCTCTCCCATCACAAGGTTCATGAGAATTAAATAAAAAAATATTTTCTGTCATTGCCTTATTAGAACAAAGAAAGGAAAAATCTCACCAATTAACACCAATGTTTTATGAAGCTGGAGTTAAAAGTGAATTCCATTTTTACAGATTGCTTGTTAAAATATTTTACTTAATGCCTTTAGGTAAAGCAGTACTTCGGAGCTGCTCATCACACAGCATGCTGCCAGCATGCAACTGGTGGGCAGCAAAACTGTTTTACACATTACAAGTAATTGTTGAATGTGGTGAGAAAAGAAAAAATGAGGAGAAAGGATTGATATAACATGCTGACTGAAAAGGATGACTTAAAAGCATATGCCTATCTGTCTACTCTCACAAACGTCAGCAATCTATGATCTTACTTCTGGAGACCGCTGGGTAATTACATTGCAGGGGAAAAAAAAAAAAAAAAAAAAAAAAAAAAAAGGAAAATCTCTTACCATTTAGTATACATCCCTAGGCTGTGGCAGGAGAAAACTGTAAATTGTAATTTCTTGTTCTTGGGAACGACCAAAGGAATGCCATAATACACAACCTCTTCTCAAACTTATCCTTACTATTGAAGTCTCCGTTGATATAAATAGAGCTACAAAACACCTGATCTCCTCTGAGCTATTTTTCAGATCTACAAGAACCTCCTGCAGAGGCATCACTTCTGAATTTAATCACAGTGTGTAAGACTTGTCAGTTTTGTTAACAACGGCCCAGCCAAAATACCTCCGTAACTATAAAATGAGGAGACAGAAGAAGTCTCTTGGCTCATATATAACACATTTCCAGTTGAAGAAACAGCAACACAGTATTTACTGAATACAGCATCACATACCACAACACGCTTTTTAAATATACCCCAGCAAACTGAAAACTCTTCACAAGCTGGAGTCCCTACTGCTTTTCTTGTCTCGCTTCCCTTCTGTGGAGAACGGTAGCTACTGAACACATGTTTTTCAGAGTGCCCTGAGATGGGCCCGTGCCGGCCTCGGCCTTGCCCTGCCTTGCAGCTCAGCCTGCAGAGCTGCAGTTGCACTGCTGCTGCTGCTGGAATACGGATGCTGTTCAATACACACTGTTGGTTTGCTGCCAAGAAACACAGGAAAGGGAGGTTAACAGCAGCAGCTGAAGCAAAGGGCTGCCTTTGCCCCCCGC